CCATTTAGATGAAACTATCTTTGATAATTTACAGTCTCACAACAGTATATATTAGGTTATTAGTATTGACCACATAAAAACCACATAAACATACCTGAAAGTAATAAAAGTAAATATTTAATTGTGCTTGCCATGTCCAGGCATTAACACAGGATACCATATTCACAATATATTGAATTCATTTAATGTATTAAATATATAATCTCTAATTCTTACGTTGATACATAATACTTTTAATCCTTCAACATATATAAATCATAACATATTATATCCAATGCAAGAATTGTATTAGTGATGGAGCTGGGATTTGAAAACAGGTCCTAGGTCTCTAGGGCATCCATAAGCATTGTTGCCTTCTAGAAAAACTTTTTAAGAAGACATTTTATTTTTGAAATCTATTAGTGACACATCAACTTTAGTAGCAAAAAAATCTATTTTACTAAAAAACTATGATTTTAGTAACAACAAAATCTATTGCCTTAACATAATAAAAAGAAATATAATGGGGTTTTTAATGCTAATTATTTTTGTTCCCCACCTCCCATTTTATAACCCTAATTAGGCCAATGACTAGTTACATTAAAGCAGTTAAACCACTTATCTCTCTGGGCTTCCGCTTGGTCATCTACACTAGACTCAGCTGATTTCTGTAGTCCCTTCTAGCTCTAAAATTCTACAGCCCTGCTTATTTACTTGTAATTGCTAATCCCATTCATAATTACTAACATAGTTCTCTAAGATCCAGTGACAGACAAATACTGCATTGACCTGTTCTAGGGGTTAGTTTAATCTGGAAGCCTGAATTGGAATATATGTCATCTGTATATTCTCTTTGTTCTGTAGATATTTGTAAAGAACTTTACCCAAGCATTTATTCAACAAAACATCAAAATAATTGCCATATGAATAATTGGGCTATGTTCAGTTACATCCAAAGTACACTAGTATAAATGTATAATGCTCAATTGAATTGATTCATTTTAGACAAATTTCTCACCTGTTGTCACAAGATTGACGATGCTTGGGAGTAGCTAATATGAATAAGCATACACAGAAATACAAGTTGTAATTTAATTTACTTTCTTCTGAACATGCTTTCAGAGACTTCTCTGTATATCCTACTACCAGTCTGCACTAGGAAATTCACTGCATGATCTTGGTCATAACGTAAATAACTTATCTTGGCATTTATTTTCGTTATCATTGAGATGAATTCGTAATACATATTTTATCACATGGTGAAATTCTATAGAAAATCTCTTTAGTGGTGTATCAAATTTTACACTTTTTGTGAAGTCATACCATATTATTTAGGAACAATTTAAATAGCAAACAGTTACAACAAGTTATGAGAAAAATAATACTTTGAGATAAATAGTATTATTAATTACTTACCCAGAATGTTCAGTACAATTACGATTACCAGAAGGATAATATCATTGCACATACAACGTTCACGTCAATTCCATGATGGTGAGAATCCACAAAATTGGATAGATTTCACTAGGAAACCCAGCAGGTAGTTCCTTAGAGATGGTAAGAGGTAGGAGAGGACCAAATAAACTTTCTCATCTATCATGCTCCTGAGTTACTTTCCTTTGAAATATGCAGACCCGGCTTATTATGTTTTTTTTTTTTTTTTTCACACAAAGCACAAATACATGTGTGTTCTCTGGTTTGAATAAATATGATTTTTTCCTTATGGGTTCACTGTATATATTCCCCAGTGTTGATCTTACTTATGATCACTGTCTGTGTCTCTGGATTTTCATATAATACTGTGAAATCCTCAAGATTCTCTAATAAACTTATTGACAACACCCACTTACTTGAGTTGATCCTTTCTGTTTCTTCTCTTATATCCATTTTTTGTGATATATAATTGTAAATACATAAAACCATACATTTAAAATTAAAAGAATTGTTAGAGATTATTTTAGCGCAATACCCATGTGTTAAAATGGGGATATTCAAGTTCACAGTCACGCAGTTACTTGTGAGCAGAGCTGATAGCTAACCTCATATCTCTTGAAAATCAGACTAGTGCTGCTTTCAGTATCCACACTATTTCATTGCATTTTGAGTACTACAAAGATAAATAAACCAAATAAAAGAAGTTGTATTTTTAGCTTTAGGCTGAAAGTTTAAAATAACAGTCTCTGGTACATAAAAGGTTACAGTACATTGTTTCCACTACGTATGTGACATAAAAGAACAATACACTGAGAAAGTACTGAAAACAGCTGATACTGAAACATAACTATATCAAGACTAACTGGAATATTTATTTGGTAGATTATTATTGAGTGCATTGTTTTATGTCTTAATTATTATTGTTATTAATTAAAACATCTTTAATAAGAATTTGTTAATTTTCAAAACATTAAAAGAAGTTTACATATTTTCACTCATCAGACAAAACAGTCAAAACTGTGGGAGTCAAATCAGTCACAGAGAATGTGGTGATATCACTACACATTTCCTTCCTTCCTTCCTTCCTTCCCTCCCTCCCTCCCTCCCTCCCTCCCTTCTTCCTTCCTTCCTTCCTTTCTTTCTTTCTTTCTTTCTCTCTCTCTCTCCCCCCCTTTCTTTCTTTCTCTCTCTCTCTCTTTCTTTCTCTCTCTCTCTCTTTCTTTCTCTCTCTCTCTTTCTTTCTTTCTTTTTCTTTCTTTCTTTCTTTCTTTTCTTTCTTTCTTCTTTCTTTCTTTCATTTTTGACAGGCTTTAGTTCTGTTGCCCAGGCTGGAGTGCAGTGGAATGATCAAGGCTCACTGCAGTCTCCACTTCTCAGGTTCAAACAATCTTACCGCCTCAGCCTCCTGAGTAGCTGTGACTACAGGGCATGTGTCACCATTCTGGTTTTCTGAATTATTTGTAGGCATGAGGTCTCCCTGTGTTGCCCAGGCTGGTTCCAAACTCATGCACTCAAGTGATCCTCCTGCCTCACAATCCCAAAGTGTTGGAATTACAGACGTGAGTTATTGTGCTTCGCCACTACACATGTTGCTAATATGAAGAACTAAAATTATGGACCCCTGAATTTAGGAGAATAAAATTTCAGATTTCAGAAAAAAGACTAACATAAAAGATATTGATCATTCTTTTAGGCCTCTGAAGTAAGATTTAAGCTAAGCATAAATTTCCGAGATATTCTCAGTTCAAGTGCACCCACTCACTGGTGTCCTGCTAAGCTTCCTGGTGACATTCTTCTATCGTTTATATCTTGGAGAACCAATGAACACACACACACACGCACACACACACACACACGCGCGCATATATTCATCGTCTAAAGAGATTCATTTATTTATTCATCCATTTATAAATTATTTTATTTATCAAGCATCTGTTCATTGCCTGCTCTACACTTAGTACTGTGTGAGGTGCTAGAAACACAAAGATTAATAGATTAGGTAGAAAGATTCAGCATTATACCAGCTCTGAAACGATAAGGAATATGTTAACCTTTAGGAGCGAAGAGAAGGACAATATCCAGAGTAAAATTAGTGAAAGGTAGGAAGTTAGAAGAGATCAGGAACAATTGTGTAGGACTTTATATATAAGACACAAAAACCGAATCTATGCAACAGCTCCTTTCCTCTATAATGATGTGACACATGAGAACAGAAGTTGTATTTATCTACCACCACACATACATAGCACAAGAACAATATATTTGACTTCTGGTCATAAGCATGATTATAGGTAGGTAATTTATTCTTCATATAGTTACGTTTTCTCCTTTTTAACATTGTAAGACTGAACGGGATAGCATTAAACGATGTTGTCCCCAAATCCCTACACTGGGAAAGGAATAAGGTTTTATTTATAGAAGTTAAAACCAACACTTAAAACCATAAACAGAAAGGCAATTAAACCCTGGAATGCAGAATCAAAAATATTGGTTTTGTCGCTTAAATTGAGTAAAATAACCTCTAGGAAAATAAACTAACTGCATAACATTTTTGAAGCATAGGGGAATGTGAGTGCAGTTCTAGCCCATGCTATTTTTCAGATTATGTTTCACTATCTCGTAGAAAATGAAAATGCGTAAGCTGGAAGAAAAGAAAGGAGGTTAGCATCTACTGGGTAAAATAGAAAGGTACGGTTTAAAATAAGAAACCAGGTGCTTTTGCAACTAGAAAAGAACGCACACTAGATTCATTTGATAACTGCAAGCTTTTGAAAATATAAAGAAGTTATACTTTCCTTTGAAATACAGACAAACAAAATATCAGATTCATTCTACAAGGGCAAGTGCAAAGAAGAAACTTTAAATTAGTTAAAACACATATAAACTTTATGATATAAAAATTCTTACATGACAGAGGAGAATGGAAGTGTAACTGACACAGAAAGTTCCCTAATACTTCAGGGAATAGAAAATACACAGACTATGAACATCTATAATTTTTGAGGGGGTTTTGTGATGAAGGCACCACATTAAGTTTAGGCATAGGCTATCTCCTCCGATTCCAGAAATATTCTAGACTTTATAAAATTAAATCTAACATTTCGTGTTTTCTTAAGTTAGTTTAACATTTTTATACTATTTATATTGTAAAAGAATAAATAACAATATGAGTAAATTGCCACAGGTATTTCCCTTGCTATAGATGAATTTATCGTATTATGTTAAAAAATAGACTTCATTGAGGGTAAGCAAAGCTGTAAAGCAGAAAGGGGTGACTAGAAGTTGTTGTGTAAATAGGCATTCATTACGAGAAAACAAGCAATAGGAAAGCTATGAAAACAGAGGCAAAGTTCTCCATATTAAAATCAGAGTTACAATTAATTTTATGAACAGACATTTTGCTTCATAAAAAAACATTCACTCATTCTTAACATTCAATGAATTTTGCTTTGAATCCAGTGTCCTATTTTCAGTATGACAAATAGAGACACAGGGTAGAAATAAAGGTTATTACTAGGTTATAGTAATTACTAGAGGTTGTTACTAGTAAGATCTTAATTCTAAAAGGCACCCTAAACATGGCTTACCAGATCTCTGAAGTGGAGATGGGCGTTCTAACGGGTAAGTCCTAGCAGTTTTGATGACAGAACAGACTACATGCAAAAAGAGAGAGAAGACCACAAATGATGTTCCACTGAAGGGACAATCATATTTCTGCAAAGAAACTTCTGGTAAGTTAAGTAAATTGAGATGGCAGATTTCCTTCTGCTCCCCAAGTGGGTGGTGGACTTCCTCCATGAATAAATGACAAAACCAATGTGCTCAGTCTTATTAATCAAGGTAACAGATTTCTTGAATACTTGTATAATATGGAAGAAATAACTAACCATACAATAGGTTCTCATTCTTTAGTTTTCTGCCTAAATTTGAGATGCTTTTAACTTTTATTAATCTCACAGAAGATATCTCACCATTTTCTTCTAAAAAGCTACTTCCACTTTCTCTTTCAGTTCAGGCATTCATTCTCTGGCCGAAACTCTGTGAGTTTCCAGCATCTTCTCCAAAGTGCAATAGCTATTTGGAAAACAGAATAAGAAAATGAAGGAATTTTATTATGAACAATACACAAAGGGGTACTATGTCTTTTATCCTTCTCTCAAAATGCATTGTATTATCTAGATAATACTTTAAAAATTCTGACAGGTATTTCCTTTCTTATATGATTTATAATACTAACATTAAGCTGAGGTAAAACGTGAATTATGCAGAGGACTTCTGAACTAAAAAATATATATTTAAGAAACAGAAGTAACTCTATGTTAAAATAATTCAAGACAGTGGCATAAAAGAAAAAAAAAAACCCAAATTTAAAATTAAGGTTGTACAGAAACACTATTGAATACAACATAGCAAACATAGATTTTTGTCTCCTGTTTCTTTTAAAATTACACCAAAATTCTATTGAGTGAATAAAAATTTTAAGTCTAAAACAATAACACACAGAGGCTCAGGGTTCTATCAGTTGATGAAAATTTTCAACTAATTCCTGGAAAATGGAGAGTAGATGGAGATGTGATCATTGATATAATAAAATCAGAGAAAAATGCAGCTGAAACCATACAAGAGGAAATAATGGAGGAGAACCTAGCCACCTGTGAAACCATTGTAGGACATAGAACTCAGAAATCTCAGATATGAAAAATGGTAGGATCCATTAGCTTATGACCAGTAGATTAACTGGAAATCTGCATATGTAAAAAGTGGTTTTCTCAATACCTATGCAAGTGCATTCTACAGAGTTAATCTAAACTGCAGTCACCTCATCCCTATCCCTTATCCAAGAAATTTAACTTACGTTAATCAAATAGCTAGAAGGCAGATGCTGGCTTTACAGCATTTAGGGATCCCTACATGGGGCTTGAGCACTGACCTCTGTCTCTTAAGACTGCCATGACACTCTCTCTTTTCTGGGTTGTTCTAACACTTTGTATGTGACTAGACAATATCTACTACACTTTGATCTCCATTTGATACATGAAAACCTGACGTTTAGAGTTTATTATCTGCAGGTGGCTGCATAAACAGTACATTTTAAGAGTGATAACTGAGTTCTAAGTCCATGCCATAATTCAGTTATGCTCTCTAGACTTTGAGGGTAAGAATCAAATTCTATTATTTTTTATTTTCATAGCTTAGTTTTGTATGAAACACAACAGTCACTCAGTAATTATGTGTTGAATTACCAAATCAGTTATGCTATGCTGAACGTTATAATTAGACTATGATAGTTTTCCAGAATGAGAAAAATCATTTTTCACTAAAAAGTAGACTTTTATTCATATAAAAATATGACTAATGGTCTAGTCACATAAAAGTATAAAAAAATACTAGCATGAAGAGTGTTAAAAAATTACGATAAGCATGTCCATTTCTGCCAAAAAAAAAGTCATCTGGGATTCGGCAGATCAATTTTGGAAATATTGCAAACTAAGTAATATGAATTTTTTCAATTCACAATCTCTTTTTTATTTAGATAATCCTTAATTTATTTCAAAGACAGTTTGCATTGCTCAGAGTATAAGTCTTACACTTCTGTTATTAAACTTCCATTATTAAAATTATTTTTGATGTAATTTTAAGCCAAAATTTTCTAAAATTTCATTTTTGGATTGTTTATTGCCAGTGTGTAAAAGCAGTATTATTTATATTGATTTGTATCCTATCGTCTTCCTGAACTTGTTTGTTATCTCTAATTTTTATTGTTTTTGTGAATGTTTTAGGATGACGTCATATGTAATATCATGCTATCTGCAAATAAAGATAGTTTCACTTCTTCCTTTACTATCTGAGTCTGTTTTCTCTATTTCTTATTTCATTGCCTTGGCAAGAAACTCCAGCACGGTGTTAAATGGAAGAGGTGAGAGCAAATCTACTTCATCATTTTCACCAATATCATCCCCAAGTTGGGTTATCAAGGACTGGTTTTTCAGCATCAGGGCAATGAATGCTTGTTATGTACAGTGTGAAGACTTAGTCAATGAATTTAAAATGATGAAAGTTTGTTTTTACCCAGTTCTTTTATGTGTGTTACATTTTTAAACAAAGGTGATCCTATTATATTTTCCCTCTGTTAGAAATGCTTAAAATGTAAATGTGTATTGGTGGACCACAAATCATATCCAAATCTGACTTAGACACAGGTGCATAATTTTGAGATCCTGGAGGTAAAGATAAAGGCAATAATTGCATAGAAGTATATTTCTCTTAATAGAGGGGCTTCATGTTTATTTATGTATACATTTTCAGTAGTGGTTTGTGTAGTTAAGTTTTTGAAAAGGTAGGTTTTTTAATATTTAGTTTGAAAAGAAGAATGTGCTTACATAGTCAATACCTAAATGCAATTATGAAACTGTTTTAACATCTTTGTATGCTTGTTTCTCCATTTCTGTCACTTCATGGCAAACATATTTTAAATTTACACAGTTATTTGTTATTGTTTATATTTTCTGCTTCTTGGCATGTTGAATAATTCCTTATTAGATGCTGGATATTTTGATTTATGTTTACAGATGCCTTGATTTCGTGGTCTTTGTTTAAAGCATGTTATGTTGGTTGTCTTCATTTAAAGACGATTAAAGCCCCTCCATTAAGAGAAATATACTTCTATGCAATTATTACATTTATCTTCACCCCAGGGTGTCAAAATTATGTGTCTGTGTCTAAGGCAGATTTGGATATTACTTGTGGTCCATCAATACACATTTAAATTTTAATTTTAATTTACCTTACCAATTAATTTACCTTACCTGGAGATAAGTTTAATGCTTTTGAAACCTGTTTTTAATTTTTGTTAGGTATGGGCTAATCTCACCTCCTCTTCAGGGATAGTTTATTCCTGATACCAAGGTCTGATCTTTCTGAATGGCCCTGGTGATCACTGATGACAGCACAATAAGAGATTAAGTGTTAATAGCATTAAAATGTCAAAGATGCAGAGCAGACAGTTAATAAATAATTAATGGCATTTTGGGGAAGGCTAAGAAAAAGGAAGTTGTGCAGTTACAAAAAGAGGAAGTATGTTCTAAAATAAAGAATAAAATATTAGCTTAAAAGAAATCATTAACTTCAAGTGTAGATGAAAAAAATGGAGGTTTACACAAAAGTGGAGGGACCAGTGTTCCCTAGGAAATGATGTCAAAACTCAGTAAGCACACAAATTTGCTCAAAAGAGTTTTGTTAATGAAGACAAGATAAATGGGAGAGAGAAAAAGAGGAGAAAAATTTTCAGTAATTTGGCTGGAGAGAGTTTAATTGTCCTTATGTAGTTGAAGTATAATAGTTGGACTGAATATAGAGGTTTAGATCCGTAATCAAATTTCCTCTGAATTTTAGTTGCACTTTCTGCCAGGTGACGTAATTGTTTAAAAAAATACAATTTTCATTTCTGATCCTGTGTCTGAAGCCTAATTTTTCTATTTGGAGACATTCAGGATCTTGAATTTATTCTTAGAATTCTGAAATTCTGCAGTGAGGTGTCTTGTAAGTCTATTTTTATCCTTTCCACTGGGCATGCAATGTGAAGCTTTAAACAGGAAACTTACACCCTTAGCTTCTGAGAAAATTTTTTTATACTTACTTCTTAATTTTCCTCCTATCTTTATGTCTTTTTCTGGCATTTTAGTGAAATATTAGTGCTCTTGGATTGATGTTCTATCATTATACTTTTTCTTTTATCTCTTCCTCTTTAGATTTTCTTATCTAGGAAAGTTCTCAAGTTTTCCCTCCACCCATTTCATAGAATTTGTTTTTCTCAATTTATTTTGTTATAGCTTTAATTTTCAAGAATTATTTCTTGTTGTGAAATGTTCTTTTTTTACATACAGTTTACTCTTTTTGTTTGATATGGTGTTTTCTCTCTCCACTCCTGAGATTGTGAATTATAAGAATATTTTAAATCTTTCTTTTCCTTTTGCCATCAGTTCTAATTTGAACTTCATCTTATATGTGCTTGTTTTGATCTCTACATTTTTTTTTTGACACAGAGTCTTGCTCTGTCGCTCAGGCTGGAGTGCAGTGGCGTGATCCTGGCTCACCGCAACCTCTGCCTCCCAGGTGCAAGCGATTCTCTTGCCTCAGCCTCCCGAGTAGCTGTGATTACAGGCACCTGACACCACACCCAGCTAATTTCTTTGTATGTTTAGTGGAAATGAGGTTTCACCATGTTGGCCAGGCTGATCTTGAACTCCTGGTCTCAAGTAATCCTCCCGCCTTGGCCTCCAAAGTGCTGGAATTTGGGTGTGAGCCACTGGTCCTGGCCTGATCTCTACTTTTACTGGAGGCTGTAAATATCTAGTAGTCCTTAGTTCTCTAACAGTGAGCAAGAATGAGGTATTAAATAAGCAACGGGAATTTCTGTGTCTGGGACCAGTGGACATCACTGGATGTTCAGGCAGAGGTTAACTATTTCCTCTTAGTCTCAATATTTGTAGAACTCTATTATTAAGCAGGTCAGTTTTTTTTTTTTTTCAATCTTCCTGGGTGCCTGAAGCCTGATTGTCAAGGATTTTGAGGTTGATTAGCAGATTGGTCAAAGCATCTCTCTGGTTTTCAGAATTTCAATTAATTCCTGAGTCTTTAATAAAGCACTTCTTCCCTTAGCCTTGCCTAGATACTCCTACCCTGAATTCAGCCTCCTTTTGGTCCAGCAATGCCAGACAATAAACGTCCAACGTTCAGTAGACATACAGGGGGAAATTTGGTTGGTCAAGGTGCTCCTTGTATAGCTTTTCTAGTAGTTCTCCAGTTTTCCGTCATATGGAACACATACTGTGTTAGCTTTCTATTGTTAAATAACAAATTATTTTAAGCTTTGGGGTTTAAAACAATGCACAATTGTTACCTCACCATTTCTGTATGCCAGGAGTCTAGGCATGGCTTGGATGGCTGCTATGCTTCAGACACTCACAAGGTTGCAGTGAAGGTGTTGGCTGTGGCTCCATCTCATCTGAAGCTTGAATGGGGAAGGATCTGCTTCTAGGCTCACACGGTTGCAGGCAGCATTCACTCCCCCGTGGGCCATCAGCGAGGGCCTGAGTTTCTTGGTGGCTACCAGCCAGAGGTGGCCCTCAGTTTCTTCCTATAAGGACTTTCCCAACATGGCACCTTGCTTTCTCAAAGCCAACCATGGAGAGAGTTGTTTCTGATAAACAGAAATACAATTGATTGTTTTTTTGTTTTGTTTTTTTTTTTGAGACGGAGTTTCGCTCTTGTTACCCAGGCTGGAGTGCAATGGCACGATCTCGGCTCACCGCAACCTCCGTCTCCTGGGTTCAGGCAATTCTCCTGCCTCAGCCTCCTGAGTAGCTGGGATTACAGGCACGCGCCACCATGCCCAGCTAATTTTTTGTATTTTTAGTAGAGACGGGGTTTCACCATGTTGACCAGGATGGTCTCGATTTCTTGACCTCGTGATCCACCCGCCTCGGCCTCCCAAAGTGCTGGGATTACAGGCGTGAGCCACCACGCCCAGCCTGATTCTTTTATATTGAATTTGTATCCTTATAAACTCCTTTATTAATTCTAATATTTATCTATAGATTTTCTTGGATTTTCTATAAACAGAATCATATTCATGGTTGATATGTGCTATATTTTTCTTTTCAAATTTTTATAACCTAAAAATCATATTGTATCTGTTAACATCATGAGCAGTGATGCTAAGTAGAAGTGATAACAGTGAATACCTTGTCTTTCTTGTTCCCAATGTCAAAGGGAAAGTTTTTAATATGCTATCAACTGTGATGTTTGTTCCAGATTTGTCTACTTGTTAGATTGGTTGTTTTGCAGGGATATGCTCAGAATACGTATTATCAGATTAAAAATTATTTCTTCTGTTTCTTCTGTGAAATTAATTTTAGTTACTATGGATTTTAGTTCTAGAGTTTCCATTTTCTCCTTTTTCAAAATTTCCAAGTGTCTTTATAATAGAACAATTTATAGTCCCTTGGGTATATACCCAGTAATGGGATTTCTGGGTCAAATGGAATTTCTATTTCTAGATCATTGAGGAATCGCCACACTGTCTTCCACAATGGCTGCACTAATTTACACTCCCAGCAACAATTTAAAAGTGTTTCTATTTCTCCACATCCTCTCCAGCATCTGTGGTCTCCAGATGTTTTAGTGACCGCCATTCTAACTGGCATGAGATGGTATCTCAATGTGGTTTTGGTTTGCATTTCTCTAATGACCAGTGATGACGAGCATTTTTTCATATGTTTTTGGCCTCATAAATGTCTTCTTTTGAAAAGTGTCTGTTCATATTCTTCACTCACTTTTGAATGGGCTTTTTTTTTCTTGTATATTTTAGTATTAGTTCTTTGTAGATTCTGAATATTACAGGCAAGGACTTCATTACTAAATCACCAAAAGCAATAACAAAAGCCAAAATAGACAAATGGGATCTAATTAAACTTAAGAGTTTCTGCACAGCCAAAGAAACAATCATTAGAGCGAGCAGGCAACCAACAGAATGGAAAAATTTTTGCAATCTACCCATCTGACAAGGAAATTATTTTTTAATGTTCTTTGGCAATGAGGTATTTAAAACAGAAGTGCAGTAATCTCATACAATCA